ACATATAGATGTGTATAAGAGAGAGTATATATATATATATATATATATATATATATATATATAAATGTAGCGATATGCTATATTAAGTACTGTATTTTACTATAGCTTTAGTGAATTTTTATCTACAGTATAGTATAATTGCATTGCTTTCTAGCATTGTGGTTTTGTTTGAATTACATACATACCATACTCAAAAACATCTATTCTAAGACTATAGGCTTCCATGGCAACTGGCAGATAAGTGGGTTCTGTGGTTGGAGTGAGTAACCTGGGTATGTGTGCTTGCATAGATTAGTGTGTAGTTAGTATTGAGTTTTATGAGTGAGCAGTAGTATTAATAAAGTGTATTTTGCATTGGATTCCATATATTTTGTTGCTCGCTGTTTCATTTTGTTTGTAGTTGACAAGAACTACATTGATTTAATTACAAACCTTGCATGTATGTTGCATAGCAGGCCGCAATGCTATCATCAAACCCTCCTGAGCGATCACCTCAAAATATGTTGGCCGGGTGTTTTGCACAGCGCCTGTCAAATGGGCACCAAATTCTGCCATCTCCTTTTTCTTACCTCATTAAAAACTGAAATGATAAATTGTTTGTTGAACCAAAATGATCATTAATTTACAGTAAGACTTTCCTGTTCTTTCTGGGTCTTTAAAAGAGAGCCTGACATACTATAGCAACCAAATAACCTTATTTTTAGGCTCCACTTAATATGTAGTTATCATTACATAACCATGCTTGCTTGTGTATAAAGAACAGTGGTATTGAGTCAACTCAACTGCAATTACTGTACAATGAAGGCACATGACGTTAGTCTAACTTCTAAGCCTCACTTTCAATTGGTTCCTCCAATCAATACATTGTCTAGGCCATAGGAACTTTTAATAGCCTAAAAAACAAAAAAGAAGTCAACAAATGGATGGAAGTGGCACTAGGGCCTAGAGGCCTAGCACCCCCTACTACTAGGCGTAACTGGCCTCTACTATCATCATCATGCTAAAGGCTAAGGGCCTCTCAGCTTCTGCTACTAGGCCTACTACTAGTACTACTAGGCCCCCTATTAGCCAGAGAAGTGACAATAATAGAGCCTGACATTCTAGCTAGAGAGGCTCTATACTAGTATTAGAACTGCGTATAACAACTCCCTGGTATAACTAAATATTATAGTTGTTTTAGTTAGTTCACTAACTGCATGTTTTTGTAGTCTACCGCACTAGCTACTGACTTAGCTCATGTTACTCGGGACCAGGCCTGGACGGATGCCCTGGGGGATGTTTCGTTGGTAGAGACTTTTTACACACAGCGACTGGGTACAGAGTCTATATTCATTGTAAACATGGACGCCGCCAGCGGAGCTTCTGGGAAGTCCTCGTTCTGAATAAAGTAACTGTTTTTGTTGGTTCTTGTGAACTTTACTTTAACCAAAGTAAAAGAATGGATAAAAATGTTTCATTTAAGTCATTTGAAGCTATTCAGAGTGTTGACGTGGATAAAATAGTTTCTCTATCAGAGGCAGAACTTAGGCCGATTCTACCCGCTCTTGTGCGGATGTCGCTTTGTGCTCCCCTGGACGTTAGCAAGCAATGGATTGAGGGAAGGAAACAGTTGCTCCGCATACTGTCAGGCCTGGAGGTTGTAAATTCTATTGTTGCCCTGTTATCGGTTGATTTCAGTGCATTGGAACAAGATGCAAGAAAAGAACTGCAAATAAGGTAAAATACGTTTGTGTAATTAATTAACAATCTGTAAGTGGAATTAAAGTCGAACAATTCATCACAAGGCTTCCATGGTAACCTAGCTGATGAGCATGTTGTCAAGGCTAGCGCCCTCATTAGACTGTACTGTGCACTTAAAGGAATAGCAGGCATGAAGTAAGTGATTATAAAGTGCCATTATTAAAAAAGTTCATTTTTAATGTCTCTATATTAAGGTGTGAATATGTTTCTGAATATTTTTCTTGTTTTGTATTTAATAGATTTAGAGATGTGTATAAGAGACAGGTGTCACCACTCTCTGTTGAAGAAGCTGTTGCTTATGCTTAGAAAAGCACTTATGCAATTTTTCCATTATTTTGATGCTTCATATCTGCTTTTCAGCAAAATTATTTTTGTTGGTGTCTTTTACATATAAAACAACCAGTAATCATCATTTCAGGTTTTATTCTCATTTATATGTATGAATAGGCAAAAGCTTGGAGGAGGAGCAAAGGAAAACTTGTTAACCTCTTCGATCCAGCATGGTCTGGCCCTGGAGTTTGAGCGAAGTGATGCTGCACGGAGATTAAGACTCGTCATCAGTGAAATCCTTTTTATCATTAGTCAGGTGATCAAAGTAATTTCAAAATATAGTTTTAAAAAGAAAAAGCACACTATTGTATTTAAATGTGTATTCATGATTTGAGGAAATATTAAGTTCTTGTTAATGATTGGAATGTTAAAGGTTAATATGATTAATAATTTAATTTGTCAAAACATGCTATTCATTTTACATTTTCAACACACAGTAAGATGTTTCTTACTGTATATAGCAAAACTAGACAGTAAAGGCAATAATAATATTAAATAAAAGAGTAATTAATAAATGTAATGTTTTTTATGAAAAAGTGTCCAAGTGTCAAAATGTCAGTTCTTCATCCTTAACTACTAATGTGTGCTAACTTTCTATATACTTAATGTATATGTTTTTTGGTTTTTATATACTTAATTTATATGTTTTTGGGGGGGTTTTTTGCTATATTTTATAGATATACAATGTACATGGCAAGATTCGAGACCCAAATGATTTTGTCCAACGACCTTGTGAACTTTTCGAGACAACAGTTTACCTGGAGGAAGTATCAGATGTACTATGCATTGCTCAAGCTGGTAGGCGACGTCAATCCTCTCACCTATTTTGCTTACTACAGTACATCACTCAAGTCCTTGCATTATTATCCAATTACATATCTTCATATTACATAACTTTGATCAATTAAATAATTAATAATTCACACTGTAGCAATATAACAAATTCTAGTACAATTCCAATGTTTATTTTTTTAAACAGCTTGTACAAAAAATTGTACCCTTTATAAAGTACATTATTATGATAATTATAGCAAGAATTAATAATATTTATATAATAATAATAATGATATTATTGATAATATTTGGATACTACCTCAATTCCACCCAGATTTAGCTTTTTGTAGAAGGTTACTCAGTGACTATCCTCTTTAAATGTATGATTTAATAGTTGACCCCTATACTGTGCAAGGTACTATTTAGCCTTATTTGTCATTTTCATTATAGAACTGCCAAACTTGTTACCAATTGTACATGTTGCAGAGGCTCTACTGAGGGTCAAATATGGGTCATTTCTTCTCTGTCAGTTAGTTGTCAATGTACCAGACTGTTATTATGAAGGTAGGTTCCTACTGTACATTCAGTATTCATTTCTTAAGATGTCGAGCTTTAACTTGACGATTAAGCTGCGTGCAGGTTTTGAATTCAAATCCAGTAAAATCTTGGGAAGGTTTGTCAAGGAAACAACAACTTTAATCTCCAAACATTAAGATTCCAAGGAGTGGTAGAAAGTATGTAAAAAAAAGACATTTTAATATTTTATCTTTGTCTGAGTCCACTTACCATATGACCAATGCAAATGTGTTAATTTGATTGCAGTTTGCAAGTACTTAATAATGAATGGAGAGAAGCAGGATGAGGATACATTAGGGGGCAGACGACGATGCCATGCATTACGAATGCTAGCTAATATGAACCCTAAACAGGCACTCACCATTAGATCACTGACAGTAAGCAACACATGTTACAGTATATTGTATTATTGTTAAATGTATGGGAAAAAACTTTAAAACATAAATATGTGACCAAATTATTTAGATAATTATGAATGTAATGTAATCTGGCGAAACATGCACAATTATTTTTAATATATGGTAACCTTCATTCTTAATCTGTCAAACTATCTTATTTTCTGAAAACAAATGTAGAAATATGACAAAAATAATTACTTAACATGTTTGTTTGATGGTGTGTCAGGTAGAAGAGTGTAAAATGGCGGGCTTAGCCGTCGCGCTTTCATTGGATCACGGCAAGGAGGTGACATCTGGCAATGGTGTTAATGATGTCATCAGTTTCATCAGTGGACTGTTGCTTAGTAGCAATGCTTCAGTTAGGAATTGGTTCTCAATCTACATCAGGAATGCTCAAAAGGTCAGTGGACATTTTTACGAAGACCATCATGGTAATTAGTGGATGAGACCACCCTGCATACAATATCAACCTGCCCTCCCCCTCTAAATGTCCTCTGAAAACAAACCCTTTAAACTAAGAAGGATTATTGTTTTCTTTCCATTAAAGTTGTTTGTTTTTTAATTTAATGTTTTAATAATGTTTCTACACTGTTTGAATATTTTTCTCAATTTTCACTTCTCACATTGTCACATTCTTAATCAAATTTGAAGTAAAAAAATTTCCTATCATCTAGCCACCTCTAAACACCCATCCCAGACTGTATAGTAAGGCATGTGCAGGAAATATATCCTCTCCATAAATATTAGGCTTAGAAGTCCATCTGCGCATATTATAAAATAATAACCGATGTCGACGCAGATTTTGCCTAACATTAGGCTTTGACCTAATCTTAATAATATTAAGATTAGTTAACCAATGTATTATGCAGACTTAATTACGATCCTGTGCACCTATTTTCCTAGTGATTTTCCACACAAATTTGGGATAGTTTTTGAGGTAAATACTTTACAGTATTGCACCCATCTATCTTTGACACTCTCTCGTTTCTGTCTTGCCTCTAAGCCCACAAGAACTCAAAGAACCTCCCCCACCATTGTAGCCTCATCAAATACATACTATTTTTGTCTTGACTCTAGTACATAACTCTTGTGAATAAACCTAATTAAACAGTTAGTTTTTTCCCAGAAGAAATCAAATGCAAGCTCATCGATGCTGTACTCACTCAAGAAGCACCTCCTGCAAGAACTAGCAAACATTATCCCATCACAAGGCTTCCATGGTAACCTAGCTGATGAGCATGTTGTCAAGGCTAGCGCCCTCATTAGACTGTACTGTGCACTTAAAGGAATTGCAGGCATGAAGTAAGTGATTATAAAGTTGCCATTATTAAAAAAGGTCATTTTTAATGTCTCTATATTAAGGTGTGAATATGTTTCTGAATATTATTCTTGTTTTGTATTTAATAGATTTAGCACAGAGGAAAACGTACAGCTGTTATATTTGGTAACGTGCCACCCACAGCCATGCGCAGCAGGTGTTAGATTGGTATCTCTGGCATTGTGTATGTTGCTAGCATGTCCATTCTTGCAAAGGTAATTAAAGCTAATAATCTTATGTCTACCTCTCTGTAGCAATTCTCATTTTAAATGATTATGATAATCTGTAATATGTAATTATTGTAGTACTTCTTTTACAGTAAAAAAAATACATTTAATCAATATGTATTTATTTAGGTGTATTACACACAAATACAAAGAGTTTCAAAAAGCTGGAAATTTGTATATAAATAAATAGAATACTATTACAAACACAGAAAGAACAGATCAGGAAAAGGTGTTAACTAATATTACATTACTGTCAAAACCAGGTACAATTTTAAAATATACAAATTAAAATATATAAATTAAAATATATTATGAAAAAATTATTATGGTTAAAAACAGGAGCAGGAATATGTATTGATTATGATCAAAAGCATATTGTTATTATATTATTATTATATTATTATTATATTGTTATTATATTATTATTATATTATTATTATATTATTATATTGTTATTATATTGTTATTATATTATTATTATATTGTTATTATATTATTATTATATTATTATTATATTGTAGTCCAGAGGAGACTCAGGCAGTAACAAGTTGGATCCAGTGGCTGGTAAAGGAAGGGGCAGATTTCGAAAGGTAAATATTGACACAATTATTTGTAGAACTTAAAGGAATACAAGCTGAACACATTGTCAATCAATTTTTATTTCAAATCATCATATAACAAGAGCAACCACTCACAAGTCCACACGTTCCTCCACGCTTAAATACGGTACAGGCGCAATTTATTATATTGGGTTTTTTGGAAGAGCTAATAAGATAGAATTTTTATTTGTACAAAATTAAATTGTCTTAAAATTGAAAAAAAAATTGAAAAAAATTGAATACCAAGACGCTTTTAAAGTTTTGGTAACAAGAACAGCAGTGATGTTCTGGGGTCAGCACCCTGTGCGGACCTAAAAATATTCTAAGAGTTGTATTGTTGCCTTATTGATTTCAGTGCAAATGTATATGTGCTTCACTCAGTAATAAATCTGTTGCATTATTCTGTTTCAGTACAAGTGGTGTGCGTGCTTCCTTTAGTGAGATGTTGTTGTTAATGGCAATTCACTTTCATGCCAATCAGCTGCATGCTGTGGTTGACTTAGTTTGCTCAACATTAGCAATGAAGGTAAGAACAGTATGAAACTCTTATAACAGTGCACTAACAATGATACTAACAACTATACAATTCAATATGTGTTATTATCTTCATTTAATAGTAGTATGGTGTATTTATTATATTCATTGCTTATTTATAGTACCAGGGTGGAGTAGAAGTCATCTCCCACAGACCCTAGTTAAGCTTAAAAGGCCCATCTGAGTTCCTCTATTAAAAAGGGATTTTATGATACATATACTAACTTATTAATGGATTGATTTCACCTTTCATGTAGCATAGGTGAAAATATATGTTATCACCTGAAATCTTACAATAACCTAATTTGACTTAACTTATGATTTGTATCATTGATAGATAATGAAATCATAGAAAAAGATCATAAAACAAATGAATCATGTTAATTTTTTAGATTCCTGTGAGGCCAAATTCTTTATCCAGGATGAGAATAATGTTCACACAAGAAATATTCACAGAAGAGGTAAGAAGGCGAGAACCAGGGATGGATCCGGGAGGGTTGGGTGTTGCACGGGTGGGGAAAGAGGGAAGCATGGTACTCTAAGTTACTTTTCAATTTAAAAATAAATGTGCCGGGGTCTATGGTCAAGCATGGCACATCGCATGGCCCCTACCCAGATTTTTTTCTCTGGATCTGCCCCTGTAAACATTTTGGACTTCATATTACAAACTGTTTTTATATAATGAAATAATTTCATCTGGTTTCAATTGGTGGAATATGATTGTTATTCTTTGTAAATAAACCAGTACGTTTACCTTAGACAGGACGTTTCTTTTGGCTGTAAGCCAGACCAGTTGTGACGTTTTTGGCTAGGTATTATTACAGTTTTTATATAAAGTGTACTTAATACAAAAATCATATCATATTCTTTGATGATTACCCCTACTTTTGTGTTGTCAAGGTGAAACATGTGCTAGCCACGAAAGCAGGTAAAATGTCTATGGCTCATTTTCACAAAGAAAATACCAACCATTGGCAACTGAGATTTAGCTTGGTTGATGAGTGTTTACTGCACTTCAAGTACCTTGTTCAATCTCTGTAGTCGCCCAGAGTTTATTTGCTACACTTTGTAAACTATCTCTCTGTTGATATCCATACACCAGGCAATCTGTAAAACATCTAATTTTTTTTCTCCTGCCCAAAAGGTTGTTACAGCTCATGCAGTTACTGTTGCTGTGACCTCTAACCTCTCAGCAGACATTACAGGTTTTCTTCCAGTGCATTGTGTTTATCAGTTATTGAAGAGCAGAGCTTTTGCAAAGTACCAAGTACAAATCAAGGTATGGTATACTAAAAAGGTTTAGTTATAAATTACTCAAGTTTTTCACAATTATCTTCATTTTAAAATGAGAAAATAGTACAAAATACATGCACATGTTTGTTTATTTAAATTTCTGTCATAACAATAATTCAGAATATGAAAATCAAAACCAGCTAGTAAAGAAAAAAATAGGTGAAAAAATCTATGCAAAGTCAGTCTTCTCTAAACAAATAGCACCAAGAAATTGACCGTCAATTACCACTTTCTGACCTCTGTTGTAACTAGAAAATCTATGTTTTTGTTTTATGTTTTGTAGGATTGGATTTATAAGCAGATATGTGCCAGTTCAGCTCCTTTACACCCTCTTCTCCCAGGCCTAATGGAAGTGTTTGTCAACACCATCATCTACCCAACTCGCTCTGCTGGAAAGTCATTATCAAACCAGCCTTTATCTGAGTCTGAAATTCTTGCAGTGTTTCAGTCATCAAATGTATGGCTAGCTTCAAAAACTAGGGAGGAGGCTAATGGAGATAGTGCAGGCCCAGGACTAAGTGAGCAGGAGAAAGGAGACAGTGCAGGTCTAGGCCTAACTTCTCAGCTTCTAACACTTTATTACATCCTTCTTTATGAGGATTGCCTTCTATCACATAAGAAAGCTGCAGGTAATATTATTTATCATCAATTATATTTTGTGTGAACATATACAATATTGCTTTTAAATCTAAACATGCAGAACTTCCTTATTGAAACACAAGCCTTCCTGCAGACAGTGTCATTATTACTTGCGCACACACAGTGTCATTATTATTTGTGACACAATGTCAATGTTATTCGTGAACACATTGTCATTATTTTTCATGAGTTTTCATGATTAATTACCAGGTAACATCAACAAGTACAGTTCATATTCGACTGATCTGATGACCAAGGTACCCATTAAGTACCTGCTTCACTCTGCTCAGCAACATCAGAAGGCCTATTCAGGTTTGTACCCTTCCATCTTGAGACTTGTAGCCACACACTATCCTCATCTCTGCCTGGTGGAGGACTGGTTATCAGAGGAGCTTGTTGATAGTCCTGCAGTGGTTCATAGCCTGGTGTACCCACACAACTTGCCAGTCTGCTCTCCTCTTAGGCTACAAGAAGGTAGGTTTTTCTGCTTGTGACCATAAGCTTTGATTTTGTAGTTGTTTTAGTAGGATTTGTTTTTCATAAGTTCACATGCAGTTGCTCATGGGTTATTCAAAAGAAAAGTCAATAAAAGTTAATCTTAATTTGCTGTATGTTTGTGTTTGATTCTGCTGATTCAATGAATGAAAGGGCATATTTAATTTAGATTTAGATTTTAATTCATCAAAAATTTTGGCAGGTATTTTGCCAATAAAATCCATTAAGGTTAATTTTTTTATACTTGAAACTCATTAGTCAATGTATGGATTTACAGACTAAATCCTCCATCAAGACACAAAACAAAATTACTTTACTTTTTTGTTTTATTGTTTTCACATTGCTTTTACAATTCTCTCACGCCATCCCTTATCCTTTGACCCCATAGCTTTGATGACCTGCACAGAAGATCCTTCAGTAGTGTTGCAGTTAATGGCTCGTCTTAGTCACCTACCAGCGCATAGGCTCATGTCGTTTGCAGATGTCATAGTAAAAAGTCTCCAGAGAATTCTTGAACCAGATGTTCCCTGTAAAGTTGTAACTATGGTGATGACCCTCTGGCGTCATCTTAACACTGTGATGCCAAGGAGGTGAGGAAATTTGCTAAACATATCTTTTAATGACAGTTCTTAACATTCAGTGTATGATATGTTATCATATAATAATCATTTTTTTACAGATTGAGGGTGATGACAGTGAATATACTTGAAGCTAAGAACCAGTTGTCACCATACAGTGAAGAGGATATAATCTTAGATCCACTGATAGTGCTCAGGTGTGATAGAAGGGTTTTTAGGTAAGCTATAAGTAAATACTTACTGTATTACAATAAATTTTCCACTAATGGTGCTCAGGTGTGGTAGAAGGGTGTTCAGGTAAGCAATAAGTAAATACTAACCTGGTGGACAGTGTCATGTTGATTTCAGATCCACTGATAGTGCTCAGGTGTGATAGAAGGGTGTTCAGGTAAGCTATAAGTACTATATATTACTATATAAATACCTTACTGTTACTTCGACTTCCCTTGAATGGCATTTAATATATTTTTTAGGTGTTGTCCGATTCTTGAAGTCGTACTCCAGATGTTAACAGCATTTTTAGCAGCTTCTAGGGCGTTTCTCTTTACTCATCTCCAAGCAAGTTCTGGTCCATCAGTCAACAAGAAACAAGACGTGGCACCAGTGTGCACAGAGCAAGAGAAGGAGGAGCTTCGTAGTGCATTGGTAGCAGCACAGGAGAGCACTGCTGTACAGATTCTTTTGGAAATCTGCCTCCCTTTTGAAGGAGAACAGGTACCGTAGGGTTTATATTATTTAAAGTAATATTATGTATTAATTAATTAAGTTAGTTGCATGGCAATGAATGTGCTTGTGATGAAAGTGGTGTGATAATGATTGGTATTGATGGCGCTGATTACAATATTGAAGATGACATGGTGGCAGAGGCAGATATTGGTGATGGAAACAGTGATGATGATTGTAGTTGTCATGGTGATCATATCATTCTGTATTTAGATAATAACACAAGTGTCTGTGCTAAGGTTAATGCATTATTATTGTTTTTGTATTTTTGTAGTTTGATGGAAGCTTATGGTGATGATGCTGATTATTATGTGATTCTAGTTGTGACGATGGGGGTCATATCTGTGATATGGTTAACATGTTATATATTGTTTGTATTTTTGTAGTTGGATGGGAGCATGTTGAATTCTGTAAGGGAGGTACAGTGTCTTGTATGCTGTCAGTTACATCAGATTTTCATATCTGATCCTGGTTTAGTCAAACTTGTTCATTTCCAGGTAAATATTTCACCATTCTATCTACATTTTAAAAATAATAATATTTTAATTGTGGATTTTTCCTGATAGGCACACCCTACCTTAGTAGAATGTATTTCATTACATTTGCATATTATGTAATTTGTGTGTTTATATCTGATAGGGGTATCATATTTCATTTCATCTCATTACATTTGCGTATTATGTAATTTGTGTGTTTATATCTGATAGGGGTATCATATTACATTTCATCTCATTACATTTGCATATTATGTAATTTGTGTGTTTATATCAGATAGAGGTATCATATTGCATTTCATCTCATTACATTTGCGTATTATGTAATTTGTAGCCTGGTTCACGTCGAACTTTATCTAGATATACCCGTCTTGAAACATAATACGATAATCCTCTAATTGCGTTCAATGCCAAGTTAGAGCCAGATAAACAGCCAGCCAGTTTCAGGCCGTCGACGTCACATGGTGGAAAGGCTTGTTTAATAAAAAATCTACTGTATTTTACCTGGGAACAGTGAACCTCTAGTACCAAGTGGTACTCGTTCAAAAAAAACTGTAAACTACTGTAGAGAAGGTGTGAGTTTCCACTACTAGTACCTACCCTAGCTGACCAGTACGAACCAACGACAGTGCAGCAGCGTGTTCTATCGCAATCTAAGTAGTAGATTCTCTAGGCACTAGCTAATTTACCTTCGATAAAAAACGAATTATTTTAATCGCTAGCTAGCATTCTTCCATTTAACAAAATATTGTATTAATTTTCATTAAAATGTCTGTATACAGTACTTATGGACATTTATGTCCTGTTTTGTAGTTTTAGATCGCTTAATTGTGTTGTTTACATGCACTTCGCGAAAATCTAGCTTCGCGGTGTCAAATAAGTTGCTGACTTCCACACACTTTTTTATTTCGTCATCGTAAACATGTGCGCTCATTTTAACGACTTGGCGTTGGTGGTAGTTCATTGAAACTGAATTAATAGAGACTATTATAGCAGAAATGGAAAAGATTGAATTGTCAATAAATAAATACAACAAATCTGATTTTATTATTAAGAAAAATATACATTATCACATAATACGCAAATGTAATGAGTGTGTTTAAATCTGATAGGGGTATCATATTGCATTTCATCTCATTACATTTGCGTATTATGTAATTTGTGTGTTTATTTCTGATAGTGGTATCATAGTGGGTTTCATCTTTACATTTGCATATTATTCATTGTGTGTGTTTATTTATTGATAGGGTTATCCTAGTGAACTGCTGCCCATCACAGTTGCAGGCATTCCATCAATGCATATATGTCTTGACTTCATTCCAGAGCTTCTAAGCCAGCCACAGATAGAAAAACAGGTAAATGCACAGAGATTGATTGTTTTTGACTAGTGATTTATGGATAATGATGTTAACATTAATTATGTTGATGCCAATGTTTTTGAAACATTTATAATGATGTCCATTCTGATTTGCTTGAACCCTTTCCGAAACCGGCCTCCGGGCTTAATTGGCTATCCTCTGCTTTGCATGCTTAATTGTATTTGGAAGGGAGGGATATGTTAATGGGTGTGTCTCATTTTTCACTTTTTAGTATGATTACTTATTTATTACATTTATAAACTTTCCTAAAATTTAATGTTAAAATTTTCTTAGATGAAGCAATATCTATTACTTATTTCTGATGATGATGATAATAGTGATGATTATGTTATGGTGATAATAATGAGATAGACAATTAAAATTTTTGTGGTAACAATGATAAGATTAGACAATGACAATGCAGATACTGATGATGAGAGTAATTATAGTGATGATGATAGTGATGGTATTGATTAAACTGTCCTTAATGTTAATTTTCTAATTGTATTTGCTCACGAAAAAATATAATTTATTCTTTCAGAGTTTTGCAGTCGAGCTTGTTTCACATATTTGTCAGCAGTATGCTTTGCCAAAGTCCCTCAGCATAGCCAGACTTTCAATTAACGTACTACTCACTAATTTAATGGGTTTGTAGATGCCTTTTTATACTCTGTCAGATGATTGTTGGTTGAGCGCACTGGAAGGGCAGCATACTTATTTTGAAAAATACAAATGGCTTTTACATATTTTGCTGTCAAGTGTCAAACAGCAAAGAACACATCATTTTGTGAACCTGTTGTCAAGTCCTTCCATGTTTACATCATTATCCATCAGTCCACACATCCATCCAAGTATTCGTTCTTCCATCCAATTTAATATTCTTCTATTCATTCATTTATTTATCCATTCATATATACATTCACAAATCAATTCATGCATTATTCCTCCATTCATTAACTCATTAATTCAACCATATAGTCATTCCTTCATCTATTTATTCATTCTTTCATTCATGCTTTCATCCAGTTATTTTTTTCATCTATTTATTCATTAGTCCATTAATTTGTTCATGCATTCATTTATCTAAAAAGTCACCAATCATTCATTATGAATTCATTTGTAGAAAAAAAACGTTTTAAAGCTTTATTTGTTATTTTCTCTTCTTTCCAGTATTACCAGGGGATGAAAGAGGCAAATTCTTTGCACCTCTTCTGCCCTCTCTCGTCAGAATTGCCAAAGCTTTCCCACCACTCTATGAAGACATCACATCCTTCCTTATTCAGTTGGGGCAGGTGTGTGGAGCATCCCTAGCCACCAGCCACAGCACACATGGACCCATGCTACTGTCCCCAAAATTTGAAAAGATGTTAACACAAGATCAACTACATGATGATAGAGAATTAAAAAAACTAACTCAACTAACTTTTATGGACATTCTTGACGAAGCGGTCTTGAATAAAGGTGTCTTTTGAGTTTCACTATTAGGAGACACATCAGTTGCAGTATTGCATTTGATCAAATGTACTGTATTTGTATATTGCGCCCTCTATCAAAATATAGCATTATTTACCTTGTAAATTGTTACTGACCAAAGTAAAGGTCAAGTTGTATATGTATTTTGTTTAAAATGCAAATATTTTTGAAAACACAGATTTTTGTTTTTTTCTTGGATTGATTGATTTTGTATGCTGTAGTGCACAGCCTGCAGGCAATGTATGCCATACTTACAACATAAAGTCATTTCTTGTTCACATACACCGTTGGTGGATGTGAAATTGTGGTGAGGGTTGCCATGGCAACCCCCAAAATACCCAAAGTACCATTTCTCTGTTTAGTCAGCTGCCGTTTTTTTACCGCAAAACAGTCATACACAGCAAAAACATGTATTGGACAAGGCAGCGGGACAATGCCAATCTGTCAGAAAACTTCAGCGCAGATGTTTGTAACCTTTGCAGTAGAATTAATTGTGGAAACAGTTTTTCTCTGACAATTTTTTACAACGAAGAAGTTAACATTTTCCGACAATTAGCGTGTATTTACATGACGCGAAGTGTCTGCTCCGGTCTTTTCTGTCGGAAACACAATTTTCCCGACAAAATTTGTAAGGAAAAAAATTTCTCCCAACAAAATGTTAAACATTAGATGACAAGTAATCCATTCTACAACAAGTAAAGAGATAGTGATTTGCTCCTATCTCATACCATTTATGAAAACATTGTAGACTGCACCATTTTTTGTTTTTGCTTTTGGTTTTTTTGGTTTTTTTTTTATATCGGCGTATCAGGCCTGATGTTGCCATCAATATTGATGAGAGTCGACCACAATATTTATTTAATTTATAAGCCATGAAATACTCGCACCTGGGGCTGAAACATAGTGAGAGCCACTTCACAACCGGTCAACAGTGCAAGCTGGGGTAACTAAGCATGGGCGGCTGAGTAGACGTTTCTTCCATTTTCCTTGCAATTTTCCCAACGATAAAGGTAACATTACCGCGCCCTGACAAACGCCTAAACGAGAGCGGCTGCTCATTCTTTCGCACAGTGATTTGATGGGAAAAATGTTTTCCTGAAGAGTCCGACATTTCCCATGGATTTTCCAAAGACAATAAACGAGAGAGAGTGCTCCCATCACATGCGGTGGTTCAGCAGCCAGCTTGGAAATATCCAGATATGAGGTATTTGGTGCTGTAACAATTTGAATGATATATTTTCTAAATTGTTTTACATTTGTAGACCACTACCATTCGTAATACAGTCGTTCGTCTTGAGATGAACGAGTAAATTTCGAAATCATAGATCTAATACTTTTTCTGAGCATCTAGAGCCCAGATATTCAACCTTTTTAAGCTGGGGGCCCGTTCCAATCTGTTGAGACCAGCTGCGGGGCGACATAAATTGTGTACTTTTTTTTCTATGTCAGCCCCACCCATTTGTTTTCGAAATAGAAAGGGCCAGGAAAAAACTCAGATGGGAGAAAATACCACCTCAGCCCCACCATATGAGGTAAGAAAATTTATTAATATGGTACCTCTAGATGGTCGGAAATTGTACTCTGTGATTTAAATTTAAGTGTAATTTTCTTTTCTTCTCCATTTTATTTTAGAATTAAAAAAAAGAAACTTGCATTCCAGGTTCTTCTAACCTGCCACTAGAAATTTTCCTACTACCTGTACAAAAATAAACACTCACCAGTGATTGGGGTTGAGGTAACACGGATACATCTAGATTCCTGGAAATGGCACTTTCAGACTCAAAAATATGTTTTTCAAAGCAGTGTTTTCAACAGAATAACATGCCCCGACACTGCTGGTGCCGCAACTGGTTAGACATCGCATCATATTAGCGGCCCACATAATCCATTATCTCATTAGTCTCCCCAATACCCTACGCCACTAGATAGAGTGAGCTATAGTCAGAAAATGCCACTCTCTCTCTTGTAAACAATGCTAGAGTAGGGGTACATAGGTGGTGTTTCTATAAACAGAAAAGCTTTTTCGACAAGTCGGCCGGAAAATGATTTCGAGCTATTTTTAGCAATGTTGCGCTGGCTGGATCAAAATCTTTGGCAGGGCAGTGGCTGAATACTAGGGTAGTACTGGTGTCTGAAATTGCCGAATTCGGTGTGGACACTCCGGCAACCCCCGAACTATAGATACGCCCCTGGAAATTCTTTGCCCTTGGGAATGGTGCAGACAAGGTATGTTGGTGTGTGTGTGCCATGGGTCCAAAGTAGGAAGACACCATTTCTGGGAAATCTGGTTTAATGAAAACATAATGGAGGCCGACAAGGGTGAAGTGGAAGAGTTTCCACTTTCCAAAAGTAACTTTAGCGTGAGTTAATTTTGCTTGTATGTGTATTTTGACTTTCAGAGAATAAATTATATATTGTTGGTCTCAAAAGTGCTGCTGTTATTTAATTTACATAGGCCTATTACCAATATGTGGTACCAGGTGAATAAAAAAAATTAAAATAACAATGTACATCGAAAAAAAGGCACTATCCGAAAGGATAGCGATAAAATATCTGGTTTAGGCCTAATGATCCTTCTTGTGTTTTGTGCGCTGGGTATACCTATGACCATTCAGTGAATTAAGCATATAACTATGATGAAATGGAATAGAATATATTTATTTCGTTTTAAAAACGAAGATACCGTACAAAGATATGGCTATTCCATATAATTGGGTTTATGAAAGCACACAAAAAACCTATAGTATCGTACGTTCAGTAATAATACGATTTTATACCATCATGTTCCTATATATTTGAGCTCTGTATTGTTGTCTGATTTATACATTATTTGTTTTCGCAGTGCAGACACCGTGCCAAATTCCTACTCAAAAACCCATAATACATAATTTGCATCTACACCGGCCCAACTCTACATATACCGGTACACGTCAAATTTGAAATTCCCTTCACTCCTAGTACATGAAACAGCCTGTAGAGTGAAATTACAAGTTCCTTATTTCTTTAATGAAACTCTGTCTCTTATACACATCTAAGATGTGTATAAGAGACAGATATATGCCTATAGTGATTGTTCTTTGTTTTGTTTTGCTGGTGGACGCACATTATTTAATAGGTTCCCTTGAGATTCATGTGATAGATTTCTCAATAATGTTAATATTAACCAGTTTTCTCGATTTGTATAGTGCATCATTTCATTAAAATACAGCCGAGTAAAATCAACAATGGTGTCAAAAGAAATTAGAGTCTGGTATGAATAAAGAAATCTAGACGATGGAAAGAAAAAGAATATGTAAATGTAATGTTTAATGATGCTTGTGGTTTGATTAATGACAACTTATTTCATTTCGTCTTTCACACAAGCGAACCCACGTGGTACCTTGGAAGGTGTGCAAACTAGTCTGTTATTAAATTGACAAAGACAATTACTCACCAACGCGCCATCTGACTCAATTTCAATTTTGTTGTGCCTTGCAAAACGCGTGAGCCGGGCTTGATAATTATTATACAATGAAGATCAACACTCTTCTGCATTATTGACGCCAAAATCACTATCTAATTTTGTAGTGTATACCGCCTTTTTGAGCTGATTGTGTTTAAATTATTTTTTTATTTATTTTATTTATTTGTCATTTGAAATACTGCAACCAGAAATAATAATAATAACAGAAATTAGATCTGAACTCGCAATCTTTAAAAAATACCGTCAACAGGACAGGTGACTGCACATTGGCAGCGCCATCAGGGTTTTGGGAGGGGGATCTCATTGTGCAAGCATGGTCCCCATATCGTCGGGATTCACTTGATGTCGTCGTGACTAATAATTAATAATTTCCCGTTCTAATCCTCCAACCAGGCACAAATTCACCTTACCATTCTAACCCTTATTTTCTGCGGCAGGAGGTTTCACTCCCTTGGCCCCAACAATAGTTGTTCTAGTTTCCTGGTTCTGGCCCCAGCTGGACTTGTTTGACTTCTTTCGGCAAATATAGGGAACCATCGCTGTGAATATTTCAACCAAACAATTACTAACACGAGTTCATTGTGGCTATGAAAATTACTGTATAAAAATGCGGGGTCGGGCCCATATGGAAGATGAGTTGTATATATAAAATTCAACAAAATTGTATATAACAAGATTTGGTTTAGTTAACAATTTTTAATAGGCTCTATTTCGTTAACTTTATTATTTGTGTCTATGTAGTCTTTTTTAAGCTTAAATCCTTTAAAAGGACACAAACATTGCTTACTTCAACAAGGGAAGTAAAGTCTTCTATGTGACAAATTACATAATGCAGTGTGTGTACAGTATTCCATTTCGATTATTTGTTCTGCATGGTAGGCCTATAAGCGTATATATAAACTTAATTTTTTTTTTTTACTTTTTTCTTTCATACTGTTTTACAAAATAAAAAAGTATTAATAATTTAAATTTTATGGTATACAAATCCAAATGAACGAGGTCAAATAACTTCTATCAAACTGTCACAAATTGTGGCTAAATAATATATATATATATATATGTGTGTGTGTGTGTAATATAGAAATTGAACATCAAAAAAATATTCTGTGTACTTCACAAACTGCCAATCGACAATAAAATTAAAGTTTTTCAATTTAAATTTATGCATAGAATAGTTTTCACCAATGTAAAATTGTTTAAGATTGGTCTGGTAAAGTCTGAACTATGCTCTTTCTGTAATAAGGAAAAAGACCATCTCTTACACATGTTTGTTGAGTGTAGAATCAGTCTTCCTTTGTGGGAAACTACTAAAGATTTTATCTTTAATGAAACTAATACAGTAATTAATTTTGACACAAAAAGTATCTGCTTTGGAGAGCCTGATTGACTACCAATTGTTAATTCTTTCATATTGTTCACTAAATATTATATCTATAGCTGTAAATTACAAAATATAATTCCTCATTTCAAGGATCTAAAACTCAGACTAGAAAAATATAAAGATGTACTCAGATTCTTTAATTGATTCTCCCTACTGTATTGTAAACCCAATGGCATGCTTATTATTATTTCTTCTGTTTTGTTATTGCTGTTGTTGGTATTATTGTTGTCATTATTATCAATGACAACAATGATGATAACAATAATAATAATTTGTTTTTCTTGTACAATTGTATTGTATTATATTGTTATGTCTATTTTTTATTAAGG